CAGGCCTCGCGCCATGCCAACGTTTCGGACGGCCTGCGAGTCCAGCAAGCCATGTCCAGACGCGCCGCAGCGGCTGAAATCGCCGGCATCGCCACCTTCGACGCCTTGCAGAAGTGGCACACTTACCTCCTCAATACTCTTACACAACAGCCTCCACAAGGCTTCACGCCAGTTGCTTTGGAGCAGCTCACGGCGGCAGACAAGGAGCTGTGGATGGGGGTATCCCACAAGGTGGGTGCCTCCCTGCCAAGTGATCATGATTTCCCTGTGGACCGAGCCATCCAAGAGCTCATGCTCACTCCGCCCGTTGCGATGCAGCTGCTCCCTCGGCCCTCGCGCACCGTCCCTGAGCGAGTCAATCGGCCAGGACCTCCCAAGGGTTCACCCAAAGGGCGTGGCAAGTCCCCCGCCAAGCCCAAGGGCCGCGGCAAGGCTCAGCCCAGTTTCCCGGCGCCCTTGCAAGGAAAAGGGTTGAAAGGCCGCAACTTGCAGGGAGAGTTGCTCTGCTGGAACTACAACATGGAGCGGCCATGCCAGAAGAAGCCGTGCCAATTGAAGCATCAGTGCATGAAGTGCTTTGGGTCTCACCCCTATACCTTGTGCACAGTCCTGTGACCCGAGCACGAGCCGGCCAATTCCGCTAATGCTATGGCCAGCGGTGGGTCAGTCAGTTTCGGCTGTTCCGCTGCAGTGCCCTTTTTGCCACCACCATCCTTTTCTTTCCCAAATCAGCCAGCCGCTTCCTCTTTTCCTTTTACAAACGACCCGGCTCCCACGCCGTGCAGGCATGCCCCTGTGCATCCTGCCACCTCACCTAGTGAGGATTCCCAGGCCCCTGTGCCTGCTGGGTTCGCCCTGTGCTGCGCTTCTCCCCTTCCCAAGGCCCCTGTGCCTGCTGGGCCTGCCCCTGTGCGGCCCAGCGCTTCTCCCCGAGAAGCTCTTCCCAAGGCCCCTGTGCCTTCTGGGTCTGGCCCTGTGCGGCCCAGTGCTCCCCTTGCGGGTGCATTTCCCTCGGCCCCTGTGCCTGGCGGGTGTGCCCCTGTGCACCCCGCCGTTCCTCCAGTCACAGTTTCCTTTCACGGTCATATTTCGGGCACACAGACCCCAGCACCCTGTGCCCGGCCTTTAACCGGGCCTTGCCCTGCCAGTGACCGTGCCTTTCCTTCAGCCTCCGGCCTTTCCGAGGATCTCGCTTCCTCGGCCAGTCCCTCTGTTTGCACACCTGCCCGCAGCCCTGAGGGCCGCGCACCCTGTGTGGTCGAGATCTTTGCAGGTTCGTGCAACTTTTCTTCCACAGCCGTCTCCATGGGTTTTCAGTCAGTAGCAGTGGATCATGTACCAGCAAAGCGGTGGCATGTTCTGCAGTTGGACCTGCGCGAGCCTGGCGCCCAACAGTTGCTGCTCAGCACACTCCGGTGCTTGCTGCCGGCCCTGGTGGTGCTTGCACCCCCGTGCGGCACTGCTTCCCGCGCGAGGGATATTCCAGCCTACAGCAATGGGAAACGCATTGCGCGCCCGCTCCGTTCGGGCCAGCATCCAGACGGTTTGCCTTCACTTCAAGGCCAGGACCTCGCTAGGGTGACCAGTGCCAACAGCCTTTATGCGTTCGCGGCCGCTGTCGCTGGCATGTGCAGCCAGCACGGCATACCATGGCTTATCGAGAACCCTGCTCGCAGTTATATGTGGGACACTTCCATGATGAGCGCACTCCCAGAGCATTCGCAGACCGAGGTCCACTTTTGCGCTTATGGGGGTGCTCGCCGCAAGCGCACTGTCCTGAAGGGTACTCCCACCTGGTTGCAAAATCTTTGCCGCACGTGTGACGGCAACCATTCCCATGCCCCGTGGAAAGATTCCTGCGGCATTCATACCGCCGAGGAAGCCGCTTACCCACTTCCCTTTTGCCAAGCCATTTGCCTATGTTTGAGGGACTCCTTGCCTCCGCACAGCCGCCCCCGGCCGATGGTTCTAGGCCAGGCGCTGCCACACTGGAGGGATGATGCATTATTCCTTCGAGCTGCAGTGAAGTTTCAGCCTCGTTCGTGGGTGTTTCCAAATTTACCGTCTCCCTTTGATTTGCAGTTGTTCCCGCGAAGCCTTTTCGACGCAGCATGGCTTCGCGGCAAGCGGCTACCGGCCGGCCCTTGGCCAAAAGGCTCCGTGTTGCCTTTGCACCCGCCAGAAGCTGCTCCAGATCAGTTTTGGGTTGCATGCCCTAAGGACCCTGTGCAGCACATGCATTCTATGAGTGGAGTGCTGCACCCAGCCAACATGTTGCCCCCTCTCGGCCGATTTCTGGAAGAGGCCGTCGACTTCGTTGCAACATGTCCCACGCATGATGCCCTGTCCTTTTGGGCAGAAAGGCTCAGATCCTTGCTTCAGCTGGCCGAAGAGTTTGCTCCGCGTCAGAAGCAGTTGCTCGCCTCGTGCGATGCCCATGTTGCGCGCATCAACGCCAAGAAGCGCACTTTGCTGCTCAAGCACGTCCTGCAGACCGTTGGTTATCAGGACACTGCCATCGCTGACGAGCTAGCTGCCGGTTTTCCATTGTTTGGATGGCTTCCTGCCCAGGCATCCACAGCCACCTGCAGTGGATGTTGCCTCCTTAGAGCGCATGGCCCCAGCGTTGCAGGCCCGCGCCTTGGCCCGTTGTCAGCCTACAGATGATCCAGTAGCTGACCAGACACTTTTTGACACTACACTTGCGGAATTGCAGCAGGGCTGGCTAGATGGCCCCTTTTTGGCCCCGGACGTGCCAAGCACTTCCGTCATCAGCCCGCGTTTCTATGTTTTGCAGTCTGACAAATGCAGGCCTATTGACGACTTTACGTTCAATCTTTTGAACTCTGCCGTCGGTTCCGCCAACAAGGTCGTCCTGCATGACACTGATTTTATCGCTGCCTTGCTCAAGCGGTGTTGCAGTTACAATAAAGTGCCCTGGCGTGGACGAGCCTTCGACCTTCAGGACGCATACCGTCAGCTGGCGATTGCGCCTGCGCACCGAACACACTCGTTCATTTGCGTGTACGAGCCCATGCATGGCCCGAGGTGCTACCGTATGCTGACTATGCCATTTGGCAGCTCAGCCTCGGTTTACGCCTTTTTGCGCACTAGCTTAGCCATTCATGCGCTTGGCGCTCGCCTTTTTCGCCTGCCCTGGACCTGCTTCTATGACGATTTCCCGACAGTGGTTCCCGAGCCGCTCGCCAACGCTGCTACGCACCTGATCAAGTCCTTGTTCACATTGTTGGGTTTCCAGGTCAGTGACAAGCCCTCCAAAAACCCACCGTTTGCAGCCGTGTTTCAGGCGCTTGGGGTTGCCTTCAACCTCACGCGGGCAGTTTCCGGGATCTTCGAAGTGGCGAACACCGAGGCCCGAATCCATCTCCTGGCTTCTAGCTTGCAAGAGCTTTTGACAAGCCATTCCCTTTCACCCAAAGAGGCTCGCAGATTGAGGGGCCGCATGCAGTTTGCGCACGGTCAATTATCGGGACGATACCATTCACGATGCCTCTCTTCTCTGCATGAGCTTTCTGCCTTGGCACCAGGCTCTCGCGCCCCGCCGTCGCTTGTGAGGATTTTACAGCGCTGTTTGCAGTCTCTTGTCAATTCCATGCCAAGAGCAGTCAGCAGCAAGGACCGCCTCGTTTGGCATTTGTTTACAGATGGTGCCTTGGAGGCTTCCAAGCCCTCCATAGGAGGCGTCCTCGTGGACTTCTTTGGGCATCCCCGCTTTCACTTTTCATTTGAGCCCCCGGCTCTTTCAGTGCTTACAACCTTTGGATCTCACTGCATTTTGCACCTCGAGATCCTTCCCATTTTGGTGGCACTTCACCTCTGGCCAGACCTGCTCTCAGGCACGGCCATTTTCTTTCATGTGGACAACGAAGCTGCACTTCATTCTCTCATTCGCATGTCATGCGACAACCATGCGGCCGACCAGCTTGTCCAACACTTCCTACGCCTTGAGCAACGGATGACCTTCGATACATGGATCCATAGGGTCCCTACCGAGGTGAATGTTGCCGATGCCCCGAGTCGAGGCAATGAGACTCAACTACTTTCCTTTCAATCCCAGAAGTCCCACGTTACACCAAGCATTTGGAATAGTCTTTGGAGCGAGCTGCAGCTGTAAAATTTACTTGCTCTTGTGCCGTTTCTTTCCTTGCGCATGAAGTGCACACAGCGTCCTCTTATGCCTTTATTCACACGTATGTGTTTTCCGTGACAATCCGTTTGTGCCGCCTCAGGTCACTTCACACGGTCGAGCACTCAGTTTACAGGGGGTGCGTGCGAGTTCTTGACATGGGGTGCTTGCCTGCCCTCACCCCCTGAGGCCTTCTTGGGGGACCCCCCTTTTTCTGGGTGTGAACCCTTTTCTCCCTTTTGGGGTCCCCCCCTTTCTAAGAAGGACCTTTCCTTACCTTGATGCTCTACCCCGTGTGCTGAAAAGGAGTGCTTGCGCTCAAAGTTCCCTTGTCAAGTATTGTTGAGTGACTCAAGCTGCTTAAGGGCACCTGGTATAAGGATTGCTAGTGCTTGCACTCGCGGCGTTATACGGGTGCCCTTAACTGTTGAGTTGCAGCTTGAGGCTCAAACCTTTCCTTTCCTTCCAATTTCAGGGCCTTAGATTTTTCTCCCACCCACCCACCCAGGTTGGACGAGTGAGTGGCTATGCCTACTATACCAAGTAGCTTATTGGCTACGCGAGCCACACCATGTGGCTTGCCTTTCAGTCTGGGTTCGGGTGGGGTGCTTGCCTGCCCTCACCCCCTGAGGCCTTCTTGGGGTGTGAACCCTTTTCTCCCTTTTGGGGTCCCCCCCTTTCTAAGAAGGACCTTTCCTTACCTTGATGCTCTACCCCGTGTGCTGAAAAGGAGTGCTTGCGCTCAAAGTTCCCTTGTCAAGTATTGTTGAGTGACTCAAGCTGCTTAAGGGCACCTGGTATAAGGGATTTGCGTCTGGCAACCCTAAAGCGCAACGCCGCTGTCTTTTGCCAGGCTTGACGCCACAGCTGCTTGTCGCGCTCCTCCTCCGGGCTCGCCTGGCGCAGCGGCCAGATATTGAGGAGGACATCAAGGCGCGCCTCAAAGGCGCACGTTTGAGGCTTGTTCCTTGCCGCGCCAGGCCCTTGTCCGAGACCTCAAGGACAAGCAGGACAGGCTGTGGACCGCGCGGGCGCGGCTCTCAGTCCGTTCCATTTTGGCGCTCGCGTCACAAGCCGCGCCCCCGTCCTGCCTCCCCCAGGCCTTTCGCTGCGAGAAGGAAGCGGCTGACTGCAAGCGAGCTCCACTCCTGCCCAGCCCTTCGGCCGGCGCCGACTGGCAGAGCCTGCGCGTGGCCCGGAAGCACATCCACCTGGAAGTCGCCCGCGACAACGCGGCTCGGCTGCGCGTCGCGCCCTCTTGCTCTCATGCGGCAATTTTGTCTAGTAGCGCTCGGAGCTTCCGTTGCGCCTTCAGGAGGCCGAGAGCCCCTGCAGCCGCTGCTGCGGACAAAGCGCGTCGGGCCTGAGCCGATCGCTCTGGGCGCTCGGGGCGCGCTGAAGTCAGGCCAGGCGGCTTCTGGGTTTGTCTTGGCTCTCGACCTTTTTCTTGCCAGGTTTCGGCCGTTACCGCAAATCGCGCAAGCAGCACTTGCTGAAGGGCGGCCTGACGTTGCCGCGGCCTCAGCGCGCGCCAAGTGCTCGTCGCAGTTGGCTCCGCGCAAGGCCTGGGACCTCTGGATGTGTGACTGCGGCGGCGGAGGGGGACCTGCCCAGCATCCTCGCCCCGCACCAGGTCGTCGTGCGTGGATGGCGTCGTGCAGACAGGGCTTGTGGCGGCCGCGCGCTCAGGGCTCGACGCTGTCGCTTGCCTGGGCTCGCGCTTGTTCTTCAATCGCCGCTTGCAGGTGTGGCGCTACCCGTGCTACAGCGTCCGCGACGTCCAAATCTTCGAAGCCGTCCGCCCTCCGCCGGGCGCAGCAGTTCCCAGGAACTGCATCGTGTACTCGGCGGAGGGGTTTGGCAACACTGACATGGCAGGAGCCCGCAGCCTCGCAAGTCAAGCCGCTAGCCTGCAGCTCGCGCTCGCAATTCTGTCTGCGCGTAGGAGGGGACTTGGACGGCGACGGCGTGCTCTTCTCCTTCTACTGGCCGCTCGTGCGCCTGGTCACGGAGACCGCGGACGACGTCGCCAGCTGCACGCCGATGTTGGAGGCCCTGGAGAAGGACGCAAATCGATCGCTCCGTTTCGAGCGCCCTCGCTTTTCCCGCCCCCGCAGGACTTGCTCGGGCGCGCTCCCAGGGAGTCCACGCCCTTCCCGCAGGGCGCCACTTTCGAAGAGCGCCGCTGCTCGGCCGCGCAACTCTTGCGAGTTTCTGCGCAGCTTGAGTCACTTAGCACTGACTGCAGAGCAATATATGTCTGCGCCAAATGTGTAAAATAAGCGCAAAGCAAAAAAGCAAATAAACCACGCAGACTTCTTGGCACGGATGGGGTTTGCATTTTTGAGCAGAACTCAATGTAGAGATACTTGGGCATTGCGCGTGGCCCTTCGCAAGCTTCTTCAGGAGCTTCTTCTCTCTAGCAATGAGACTCACTGGGGTCTATCTGGCGCGCGCGCGCCGCTCTTTTCTACACGTTCCTTTTGCGCTTGGTGAGTCCGCGGGCCTTGAGGAAAACTCGCGCACAAGTGCAAAGCAGTGCGACAAAAGCGCGGCCAGCCAACAAGCCTCGACTGCGAAAAAAAAACGCGGAACACACCTTGAACGCGCGCGGGGTTTCCACGGCGATAGTTTGCGCCGCTCAAGTTACACTCGCACTTCCAGAGGCTACCTGCCATCCAGACTTGCAAGCCTAGGCGACGCCTACGTCGAGTACTTGGCCGGAGCCTGCACCATGAACCTCCGGGGCAAGGCGCAAGCCACCGCCCACGCTTGCGCCCGCGCCCAAACACTCGCGCAGGCTTGCGGCCTCTTCGACCGGGCGGCCTATCTGCTCCTCGACGGCTTCACACTGGACGCTGTGGGAGGACCGTTGTCTGCAAGCGCCGCGCGCCAGCCCGCGGCGGGCAAGCGCCCTTGCAGGAGCCCGCCCGGTTGGGGAAGAGGCCCAGCTCCTCTACGCGGCGCTGGCGCAGGCCGTCTTGGCGCACCACGCCGCGCGCTCAGCCTCCACTTTCGTGCCTCGCTTCTCCCTCGCGCGCTTCAGGCTTGCGACGCTCCAAAGAAGTTCCCCACCCTGGAGTATTGGCGCTTCGCCAGCGGGGTCTTCCGGAACAACTGCGACGCGCAGACAGGGCAGGAGAAGCGCAAGCCGCGCGCGCGCTCTTCCATCGTTTCTTCCGCGGTCGCAGGCTTTTTCTTTTGCTTCGCCGCGTCGGCCAGGAGTTCAAGTCCAGCGTTTTGGCCAAGGCGGCGGGGGAGCGCATTCGCGAGACGAGGGACCAGGCCGTCAAGCGGGTGGCGCCTCAGCTTAAGATGGCAGCCGCTCGCCAGCCGCGGCCCAAGCTAGATAGCAGTGTTTTGTTCTCTTGCTCGCAAGGCAAAAAGCTTTCTCAAGCGCCGCGCGGTCGGCCGTCGAGGCGGCGTGTGGGCCCCCGCAGGCCGGGCGAGGGCGCTAAACAATCTCTTGAACCGCGCGAACCGTTGCCCTCAGGAGCCAGGATCGTCCTTGGGGCGCGCGCCGCGGGCTTCCTCGCGGAAGTCGCTGCACTGGCCGCTAGGTCGCAAAAAGCCCGTTCTTTCGCTCGCTTTTTTGGGTCCGGCGCCGCAGGATCCAGGACAGACGCCAGCTCGACGAGGTCAATGGCCTCGTCTACCAAAAGCTGGCGTCCAAGTTCCGCGCCTACAGCAGCTGGCCTGCGAAGCGCCTGGCCGTGCGGGACCCGTTGCGGTTTCGGTTCGTCTGCGCGGCCCCAAGCGCGCCCCGCGCGGCCAGGACATGCTGGCGTACATTCGCAGCTCGCGCCCCGGCCGCTCCCCGTCCTGGACCACGCTGTGGAATCTCCACACCGCGCCTCCGCCTCAGTCGCTCAGCTTGGAGCTCGGCCGCGATCTAGTTTTCTCCACCCCCAGGGAGCGGCGTAGCAACTTGCTGAAACCACAACAGAAAACATTCGTGGGTGGTCCAAAGGGTCCTGAGACCAAACTGCCACCCCGTCGTCAATTGCGCGAGCGCCTGCCGCGTTTCTTCTAAGGTGAGCCCCGTGACCCCAGCGCGAAACAGAGAGGAAAAAAAAGGCGGCAAGTTCGCGGCCGGCCCTCGTTCGCGCTTGCGAGCGTACTTTGTTCTGCGCGCGCCGAGGTGTCTGTCCGCGCGCCTGTGCCTCACTCAGCTTCTAGGTCGCGCGCGGCCAAAAGCCGCTCGGCGCAAGGCGCGATCTTCGCCCGACCTCGCCTTCGACGCTCTTCGCACTGTCGGGCGGGCGCCTCAAAAGCGGCAGGCGGCCAGAGCTCGCGCTAAGCGCTGCGCAGGAGCTCGAGCTCGCCGGCGACGTGGCTTTGCCCCGCGCCCGAGCCTCAGACGCAGGCTCAGCCTCTAGGGCCGAAGCCTCTTTAAGCTTTGGCCTTGAGCCCGAAACCTGCCAGTTTTCGAACTTTTGCAAACGCAGCGGCAACTAAAATCGCGTTTGCATCCTTATGAAAATCAAACAATTTCAGTTCCAAAGTCTATAGCGCGAAAGCGGAGAACAGAGACCGGTTATATCCTCGGGCCCGACCCAAGTCATTTGTGAAAACCGCACGTCTGAGCTCCGCGCGCGTTGCGCGCTCAGGTTGGGACGCAGCCGCGCCCCGCCGCCGCGCTCAACACCAGTTCCCCGAAAATGCCAAAATCTATTGGGAAAGGAAGTGTTCGCAAACCCCAAGCGCCCGTTTCAAAAAATTGCTGTGTTGGCGCACATTGGCGCGAGCCACTAAAAGTTTAGGGTTTAGGGTTTAGGGTTTAGGGTTTAGGGTTTAGGGTTTAGGGTTTAGGGTGTGCAGATGTGGTTGCTCGCTCGGGGATAAAATCCCCCAAGCCGCTCGCCTTGCGTAGCCAAGTTCGCCCGCCCAGCCACCCAAGGTAAAGACTTTTAGGGTTTAGGGTTCCATTCGAGGTGGAACCCTTGAACGGGTTCCAAGCCAACGTGGCGCCGTCTGAAGCAGCTGGGCTGCCAGCTGCCTGCCTCGCTAAACGCGCAGGCGTGGGTCGCGCTGCTGGCATGGGTGCTGGCTGCGGCGGCAAGTACCATGTAGACGGCGTCTACATAATCCTCAGCGTCCACAAGGCGGGCGGACGACACAGTGCATGGAGTTAGGCTTGCGCAGGCCGCCAAGCACCACGTAGACGCCGTCTACCTGATCCATGGGGCGGGTTCCACACGAGCGCGTCGCACGCTGCGTTTGCCTTGGCGTGGGCTGCGGCGGCAAGTACCATGTAGACGGCGTCTACATAATCCTCAGCGTCTGCAAGGTGGCCGCCAGCTGCTTGCTTTGCTAACCTTTTCTTGCGCAGGCGTGGGTCATGCTGCAAAGCGTGGAGTTGCCAAGGCGCCAAGACCGGCTGCCCAAACATGCATGGGCCAAGCACGCTTGAAGTTGTCTGCAAGGCTCCTTGTGCTTGGCGTGTACCCCCCCCTCCAGCCGGGGCAGGTCCCCGCTATTACCCGTATGCAAAAGTTATCAGCAGTGCAAGAAAGGACCTGCAAGGCTCCTCCTTGTGCTTGGCGTGTACCCCCCCCCAGCCGGGCCAGGTCCCCGCTATTGCCCGTATGCAAAAGTTATCAGCAGTGCAAGAAGCGACCTACAAAAAGTCCTTTTGCGCGGCGTGTACCCCCCCCCAGCCGGGGCAGGTCCCCGCTATTACCCGTATGCAAAAGTTATCAACAGTGCACTAAACCACCCCCACATGCAAATGGTGCACGGTTTAGGGTAATCCTATACTGGCTGCGCCAGAGGGTGTGGGTCGTCGTGCCACTTGCAGAGCCGCACAGCGGTTGTCCTGCTAGGCTTGACCCTAGCAGGCCCTCAGATTTGCAACGGCGTCTCGGCTTGACCTCGAGCCCGGCGGCTCGCATGCCCATGTATATGGCCAGAGGCATGCTCGCCTGTTTAGGGTTTAGGGTTTAGGGTTTAGGGTTTAGGGTTTAGGGTTTAGGGTTTAGGGTTTAGGGTTTAGGGTTTAGGGTGCCCTCGGAAGCGGCGCGCCTCGACCCAGAGGGTCGCGGGGCGGCGCGCCGAGGCGGCTGCTTCAACCCACCCCAATACCGCCCAGAGACAAATCTTTTAGGGTTTAGGGTTTTAATTTGGGCCCCGGCAGGGCGAGTGATACGGGAAGCGCTTGATCGCGCAAAAGCGCAAACGCTTGAAGTTTGCATCCTCAATCTGCGACGGCTTGAGCTCCTAGAGTCGCGCGCGGCGGCCACGTTGCTTGGCCGAAAGACACCACATCCAAAGGAGAAGTGGGCGCGTGTGTCGCAGCTGCGCGAGGCTCGCGCAGGCCGGCGAGGGGTCGACGGCTGGCTGTGGCAATTTCGCCGCGAGCAAGCGGCGGAGGATAGTTCAAGCGAAGGCTGCAGCGATTTCCTCGCTAGCGCTAGCCGAGCGCTGCAGCTGGAGCGAGCTGAGTCGCAGAAGCGTTTGCCGCGTGAAAGTTGCAGCACTGGCTTGAACCCAAAGTTGCGCGCGCTTGGGAGCCACACACGCTCTTCGTGTCTGCTTGAGGCCGGCGAGGGGCCGACGGCTGTAACAACTTTGAGCGATGGGCCATAGTTGAGGCCAAGGCTGCAGCGATTTCAACGCTAGGAGTTGCAGATACGTTCTCCGCTTGAGGGCGCAGCTGCGACGGTTGGACCAAAGCTTTGCTCTGGGGCAGTCGCGCGCGGGGAAAGGATGCGACGCGCGGGCGATCTGCTTCGAAGGCAAGCAAGAGGTCGGCAACGAGCTGACGGCCGTTTGCTGGCTGCACAGGCTGGCAACAAGCCGTTGTCCGCTCGCTGGCTGCGTTGGAAGCGCAGCGCAAAGCGGCAGCGACGGATCAGTCAGGGGCCATCGCTCAGGGCGCGGCTTCTGCGATTTTGTCGCGAGCGTTGGGGGCCATAGCGCAGGCCACGGCTTCAACGATTTTGCGATTGCCAAGGAAAACGGCCGGAACAGGTTTGTCGCTAGGCCGAAAGGGCAGACCCTTTGATGTTATCAAGATTTTTTGCCGAGGGGCAGCCCAATGGCCAGGTCTCCTGATTGGGCTACGGATGGGCAGATTCATATGACCCCGTCTAAAGAATTATCAGCGGCCGGGCCAAGCCATTTCCAGCCCGGACGGCCGCTTCAATGGCCATTTTATCAAGTTTACAAAGGCCAATGGCCATTTTATCAATGCTAATTGTCAAGGTACATGGCAAATCGCAAGGCCAATGGCCGTTTTATCAAGGCCGATGGCCGTTTTATCAAGGAGAGCTTCGACGCGGTCTTCCCGGCCAGGTTAGGGTCTAGGACCTAGGTTTTAGGGTATTAAAATATTGCTTCGCATATTTTGTGCCTGCAGGCACGGTCCCAAGAGAAGGGAGGCCCTTGGGGCAGCTGCATGGCTGCTGGCGCTTTATTGGCAATAGCTCGGAGCTCTTGCCCGGGCGCTAAGCGCGCCGTGCGCTCACGACTCCATGTCGCTCTAAGCGAGCGGTCAGTCGTCGCGAGCTTTAAGTTTAGGGTTTAGGGTTTAGGGTTTGAGGTTTAGGGTTTAGGGTTTAGGGTTTAGGGTTTAGGGTCAATCCGATTTCAGGAAACGAGCAACACTTGGAACGTTGGACCCACAGCTGTTGGCTGGAAAACACCACCCGCCCAAGCTCCCAAAGTATTCGGGGCCAAAAAACACATTTGGTTAAAAAGAATCCGGGCGCCCGCATGTCGAAAGCGCCGCAGGCTTGCCATCAACATGCGAGCGCAAAAGCGTGGGTGGCCGCGAGCGGCCAAAAAAAGAGACTCTTGATCGCAATTTAATAGGAAATCGACAAGCTCGAATCGGCTGCACAGGTTATTAGGAAATCAACGAGCTCGACTTGGCGGCATAAAATCCGGATGACCGCAGATCGACCAAACAAATGCGTTTCTCAATGAACAGTGTAATAGGAAACCGACGAGTTCGAGTTGGTTGCCCAAAATTGTAAAAATGTGATTGCAAAAGTCCGGATGACCGCAGATTGACAAAAAATGCGTTTCTTAATACACAGTTTAATAGGAAATCGACGAGTTCAGGTCGGCTGCCCAATTTTGCAAGAATGTGACTACAAAAGCCCGGACGACCGCAGATCGACCAAAAAATGCGTTTCTTAATAGACAGTTTAATAGGAAATCGACGAGTTCGGGTCGGCTGCAAACAATTGGAAAATGCGAGCGCAAAAGTCCGGATGACCGCAGATCGACTAAAAAGTGCGTTTCTTAATAGACAGGTTACTAGGAAATCAACCATTTCGAGGCAGACGATTTTGAATCAGCTGGCCATTCCTTCTTAAATCTTACGTACGAACAAAACATTTTAGATCAAATGCAAGAAGTTTGCCACTTGCAGCTTGAAAGAAAGACCGATTTATCGCAGCGAGCGCTAAAAAACCAAAAAAACCTTGAGTTTTTTAGAGTTGGCAGCCGGAAACCATGAAAAAACCTGCTAAAACCTCAGAAGCAAAGCAAAAAACATCGAGTTTTTTAGGGTTTCCAGAAGAAAAATGCAACACTCCCCACAAACGAGGATCGAGGGCCGAAAAAAAACGCAAAAAACCTCGAGTTTTTGAAGGTCAGCGCAGCCAAAGTGCCGAGAGGGTTCACTTTGCAAATTGAAAAAGCAAAAAAACCTTGAGTTTTCCACGGTTCGAACCCGGAAATGACGACAGGGCCAGCAAATTTTGAACAGCAAAAAAACCGCAAAAAACCACGAGTTTTTGCGCCTTGGAGCTCCGAAATGACGGCAGGGCCAGCAAAAACAGGACAGAACACAAATCGGGTAAAATTGTATAGGGTTTAAATTAATATAGAAACTAATTGTTTAGGGTTTAGGGTTTAGGGTTTAGGGTTTAGGGTTTAGGGTCA